TGCATATGTTGACCTAGGGATGCGGGTGGTGCTATGGGTTAAACCACAGAGCCTAGGGCTTGCTGATCAGAAGGTCGGCAGTTCGAATCCCCGCGTTGGGGTGAGCTCCCGTTGTTCGTTCCCAGCTCCTGCCCACCTAGCAGTTCGAAAGCACATCAAAGTGCAAGTAGTAAATAGGTACTGCTCTGGCGGGAAGGTAAACGGTGTTTCTGTGCACTGCTCTGGTTTGCCAGAAGCGGCTTAGTCATGCTGGCCACATGACCCGGAAGCTGTACACCGCTGGCTCCCTCAGCCAATAAAGCGAGATGAGTGCCACAACCCCAGAGTTGGTCATGACTGAACCTAATGGTCAGGGGTCCCCTTTACCTTTACCTATGTTGACCTAAGATATGTGTTTATATTTGTATGCTGTGGATACACGTTAGTTCTTGTTACGTTTTATTTTAAAATAGATAATTTACAGTGTGATGTGAAAATGGGTTGGAACAGGTTTATGCATTAAATGACACGGATGGGAGATAGGCTTGTCCATCCACTCCTAGACACTTCCAGTTCTGTCCACAACTAGTCGCTTGGAGAAGTCTCAAAATGCGCAGTCAGTGTGGTTCTGTGGAAGGGAGGGAATATATTTTGGTCCATGAGAACAGCAGGTCTTGGAGGATGAGCAAGAGAGGTAACACTGGGGTCAGAGCCCCAGACATCTTGGGTAGTGTTTTATTCTGCTCCCCCTGTTGCCATAATCAGCCCCTTTTCTCTCCTGACAGGTGGGCTGGCTTTCCCTTGGATACTGCTGGGTCAGCATGAGCATGAAGTAAAGGCTGTGCTTCCACTTCAGATGACACCTGGAGCCAAGTTGATACAGTGGAGCACAGAGAAACAGCCTGCACTGGGACAAGTTCGAGCTGAAGGAAAATGAATGTACTTTAGTGAGAAGAAACAGAAACAAGGTCTCTTTGTAATAAATTGGAATCCTTTTCCTGAATACTGTAGAACAGGACTACCTCCAAACTTTTGTGGACTACGATTTCCATTCCTGACCAATGACCCTGTAGCTGAGGCTGATGGGAGTTGAAGTCCAACAACATCTGGAGAGCAGCAGAGTGCCTAGCCCGGCATGAGAAGCAAATCATTCCTTCCCCAAACACAGACTTTAATTTTTATTTTATTTTTTAAAAAATGAGGTTAAAGAATATCTACAGTTTAGTATCTGCCCAACGTATGATGATCTAAGAATTAAGAATAAATTATGAACAATGTTATTCCTTCAATGGCTGGGTGAAAGTCAAGGAATGAGTAAACCAAGCTTTTTCAGTGCATCCAGCAGAAAAGAATGGTCTATGGATTAAATTATATGCTTTGAGTTCTTGCCTTCGTATTCTGTTGTTTTCATGAGGATGTGGGTTTGCTGAGGAAGGAAGTCTTTCTCAGCGAGGCTCTACCTGGCTCAAATGATTAAGGATGCCGGCTCAAAACAAACTTTGCAAACCTTTAGTGGGTGACAATAAGAAAGAAAAAGACTAGGCTAAAATGATAAAGCATTTTTTACTGATTGTAAGAGAAGGGGTTATGTGGCTGTCGATGGGCTTGCCATGCTCCTTTGTGAGAAAGGACAGGATATAAACTGAATAAGTAAATGCATAAAAATGGGTTACAAGGGTACAAAGTGAAGTGAGCTATAAACTGGACAAACTCCCCTCCAGCTGAACCGAACTGAAGATTGGACAAACGAGAAACAGAAATACACTGAAATTTGTCACTTCACCCATCCCTAGTCACGAAACGTACCAGTATATGGAAACTATCCAGACTTTGCAAAAAGTTTTGCAAGCATCCAGCACTCTCTCCTTAAAAGGAAATGAGCCCTGCACAAGGCCACTTCTGGAATTTCCAAATGCTTTAGCAATAGATGATGTTAACTAGTGAGTATCGATGAGGATTAAAAGCTGCCAGTGATGCCTCTCAGGCTGATGATAAAACTGGGGCTGTTTGGAGATGGAGGACCAATCTGTGGGCAGCGGGGGAGGGGAGCAGTCCGTGTCTCCTCCTCTTCATCCACTGCATAAAGAAGAAATGGAGAACTTCAGACCCAGGAGGCAGGCGTAGTGTGTGGGGGACAGGTGGCTGTAGCCCTGGGTGCATGGTTTTTAGAGGGCACAAGCTAGGCACCCCCCCCAGGAATCCCCGCTCCACCCTGCCTGCAACTGGGTGTTTCTGGGTCCCAGAGCCCAGCCTAGTCTCATCACCGTGTCCCCAGCCCCCTCACAGAATAGTTGCTTGGCCAGTGTCGGGGGGTGGGGGCTGGACTTGCCAGTGAAGGGCCGCATCGCCCAACCTGGGTCCTCCCTGCATGGGCAGGAAAGGGCTCAGTACAGCCCTCCTTTGCTCTGGTAGCCAGGGCTGAGTTGGCGCACGGGCTCTGCAAACTCTCCTCAGCCTGTGCAGATGCCAGGCGGCATTGGTGGTGAGGGCTGGTGTGGCGCAGTGGGTTCTGTTGACCTTCCACGCTGTGCCGCGCCTCTGCCCATCACACACACATATGTACTGTACCCAAAAAGCCCACTGTCTTTGAATGGATAATCAAACAAGAACGGATGCAAAATAAAGTGAGCTACAAATTGCATAAGCTCAGACACAAGAACTACCCACGCTGGAAGAATGGCAGACGAAAGTGATTGACTATATGGGATTGGCGGAGATGACCGGCAGAATCCGAGACCAAGGAAAAGAGAGGGTGGATGAAGATTGGAAGAAATTTTAAGTTTACCTTAAGAATTGTTGTAAAATTGATGAGTGCTAAAATGTCAAGGTTAAGAAAATATAGAATTACAGCTGTAAATTGATTAAGTAAGAGAAGAAAGGGGGGGGGAAAGAAAATGAGTAATCAGTCAATTGAAGTGAGGGGTTGCTGAATAAATTTTGAAATAGGGATGCAGAAGGGGGAGGTATGGGGAAGTCGGGGAAGTAAGGTTTATGAAAAGGAGGTTGTGAAATTATACGTGTTTATATGTTTGTGTGTTTATGTATTGTCTAATGTATTGTTTTTTATTTATGTTGGAAAAGTAATAAAAATTTATTAAAAAAAATAAAAATACAAATTGCATAAGCTCCAGGACATGCCCTTCACCAGAGAGTGGAAAGATGGGGGTTGATACAGCCAAGTTAGCCCTAGGGGTGGGGATTTGATTCAGTCTGCATTTGAATCACACGTTCTGTAACAATACGCAATCCAAAACCTCCTTCAAAATTCACACTTATGTGTTTACAAAGGACTTGTGAATAGACTGGTGGATTTTCCATATGAGAATTGGTGCCTTATGGGATATTGGGATGGGGAGGTCTCCCCAACACAGGATAAGACTTCAGAGAAATTAACCTTTGTTGCTCTGCCTACTTTTTGCCTTGCTGTTGGCCAATGGCTTCTTGATCATTTCTGGAACACAGTGGCAATCCAGGTGGCTTGCACCATTTTCTCTTGCCTAATGCTGAAGACCTTTTGCGAGTTGTTTTGTGTGTTGTAACCTTTGAAGACAGAGCAAAGGAGAAGCAGAGAGAAGGACTGAGCTGTGAGCTGGAGGCTTTTGGTGTGCAGGAACATCTCTCTGGAGATCTGCCGTGGGGTAAGCAAATATGTTGCCTGGAAGAGGGGCTTATACTGGTTGCCTTCACCTATGCTTAGCCTATGCATGTTAGGAAGTGCCATCAGTGATCTCTCCTCTAGAAGGGAGGCAGACTCAGAAAAGGCCAATGGATAGTTTGAAGGAGCAGCAGCAGGACCAGGAAGCTCTGAGATCCCAGCAAAGGTGTGGGCCTGAGCAGGTGTCCAATGCTGCCTTTCTCCAGTGGCACAACCAAAGGTAATTGCATATGTGCATCATTCTAATCTCTGATGGAACCAGTATCCAGAAAGAGCCTACAACCCCGCAATCCAGAAGTTCAGAAGTCAAAAGAAAGCACAATGATGCAGAGGGTCAGGGAAAAGAGATGAGGACCACCCACAGATAGGTGGTACCCTTTGATCAGAGGTGGGTATACTGCCCACCCCTGGTGAGTGGGTTGCGGAGTAAAAGCATGCCAGGGGCTTGTTCCAGGGTTCCTTTCACCTAGAGAAAGGAGGTGGAGATTCTGAGCCTTATGAGACAATAACCTCTTGATTTCTCTAGGAGAAAGGAATATGTTTCAGTACCTGAATGCTGGCGGACTTTGGTACTTCGCATAACTGGAGCCGAGGAAATAGACTAAAAGCAATTGTTTTGAACCTGACTTTTGCAGTAAATTGGTTTTTTAAAAATAAATAAATAAAAACTATCAACTTCTGAGATGTTTTATAGTGTTTTTAATATTCTGTTGGGAGCCACCCAGATGGGCAGAGTAGAAATAATAAATTATTATTATTTTTACTGTCATACCTTGGGTTAAAGTAGCTTCAGGTTGAGAGTTTCCAGGTTGCGTTCCGTATTGACCCAGAAGTAACGGAACGGTTTACTTCCAGGTTTCGCTGCTTGTGCATGTGCAAATGCTCAAAATGACGTCACGCGCATGTGCAGAAGTGGCGAATTGTGACCCGCGCATGCGCAGACGCGGGTTGCGTTCTCCTCAGGATGCGAATGGGGCTCCGGAACGGATCCCATTCGCATCCAGAGGTACCACTGTATTATTATTATTATTATTATTATTGCTTTTTCTGGGGGGATGCAGGGGTAAGTATACCCCTAAACATATTGTGAATCTAAGTTTGACCTCATTGAGGGGCAGTATTTCGATATGAGTAGGAAAATGACAGTACCCCTAAACATTTTTTTAGAAAAAAAGCACTGATCATTATTAACCTGAAATGGAGAAGTATTAATTGCCTATCATAGTCTGCACACCTGAGGACATCTTCATGACAGCACAATGTGCTGTAGGCCTCTCGGCACATACGCAAATTTTAAACACACCCAAACGCAGACTGCAATTTATGTGGAATAATGTGCATGTCTCCCTTCCCCAGGTTCGTCATCTGAGCAGTCACAAGATCTGACCATTCTCACAATGCAGGCCCTGCAGATCGGCGCCATGATTTGCAGTTTCATCAGTCTTCTGCTCTTCCTCATTGCCCTGGGATCAGACCACTGGGTAGCAGATAGCAATAGAACCATTGGCCTCTGGAAATTTTGTGTTTATTATGGAGTCAATGCTGGTTGTAGGTCACTTGGGACGGATGTGAATAGTAAGATTTTTGTCTTCTGCTAAGAGTCCTAGTGGTGTGGTATTCAGCACTAACTTGAGTGCAGCGGGTTCCAGCACAAAATGGCTGCTATGGGCAGCATAAAAATGGTGATGGTACTCCATATCACTGATTCCCATCTGATCTCCAAAAATCACGGCTTTTACTGTGGTATAATATATGCAACAGGTGATCCATCAGGATACCACTTTTGTTTGCTGAGGAGTCCCCACTGGCACCAACTATAGGGGGCCCTGGACGCCTGGGTGCTTGGCACCCACACCGTGGGGCCTCCAGTGTGACTTCTGGAGCTTCGCGAGGCCCCAAAAAGTGCATTGGAGGCCTCACAGGGCCTCAGAAATTGCGTTCGAAGCCTTTCAGGGCCTCTGATGTGACTTCCAGTTTCTCAAGGAAGTCAGGTCAGAGTTCTTGCTGGTTGCGTTCAAGGCCTCAGACGTGACTTCCAGGACTCTCAGGTAATTGCCGCAGCATGCGCAAGATAACATGACATCATGACATCACGTTACATCACGGTGTGCCACTGGGCACTCATAATCTGGGGCCCAAGTTGGCGCCCCTGGGAGTCCCTGTCCATCCCTATCAACCACAACCTTTCTGCATGCTGCAAAGGATCCTGGGATGACTGCACACTTAATTCGCACTGTGTTCTTGGCAGGCTTGCTGTGTCCCACTGCCGCTTCATGTGACACGTGTGTGTGTGTACTGCAGAGGGAGATTGGCAGTTTGGGACTAGTTTTTTAATGGACGTTGTCCCACCGTGACTAGCTTCACACTGAGGAACATCTGATAAGCTTGTAACAGTACCCAGGACTCCACAAATTGCATCTTAGTGGCGCCTGAACCAGCAGGAGGAGGAGCAGTAGTCTGGTCAACTGCAAAGCAGCTAAAACGTCCATTACCATCTTCCTGCTTTGCTACTGCTCCCTGATGAAAGGAGAAGAGAGACGCTGGACCATCCTGCAGGACACTGGACCCACCTACCACTGATTTGCAACAGCTGGCCTTGAGACTTCTGGGTGGGGTGGAGAGGTTAACTGAGGGGAAATGTTGGTTCAATGGCAATGACTTTAGGACTAGGCAGAGGTGGAGGTTTTGTTTATCTGTTAATAGGTGGGTCAGAACATTGCTGTGTATGTGCTCCCAATGCAATTTATGTTACATGAAATATTAAGGTATTATATGCTCTCACTCTCTCCCCCTCCCTTTTCACTCTATGGTATTATGTATTACTTTTCTTCCTTTTTTCGCTGTAAGTCACTTGGAGACCATCAGGTGAAAAAGCGACTGATAAGTCTAATAAATGAAATAAAAACAAAATGTTACCTCAGCTACCTCTCCTGATGGCATCTCTCAGCATCTTAATAGAGATGTTAAACAGCATTGGGGGGAGAGGGCAGAATGAACACCTGAGGAACGTGGCAGGTGATGCAACACCTCAATAACCATCATGCTGGGTAATAAGACGCTGGTCTCTCAGGGACGCAGGTGGCGCTGTGGGTTAAACCACAGAGCCTAGGACTTGCCAATCAGAAGGTCGGCGGTTCGAATCCCCGCGACGGGGTGAGCTCCCGTTGCTCGGTCCCAGCTCCTGCCAACCTAGCAGTTCGAAAGCACGTCAAAGTGCAAGTAGATAAATAGGTACTGCTCTGGCGGGAAGGTAAATGGCATTTCTGTGTGCTGCTCTGGTTTGCCAGAAGCGGCTCAGTCATGCTGGCCACATGACCCGGAAGTGGTACACCGGCTCCCTCGGCCAATAAAATGAGATGAGCGCCATAACCCCAGAGTCAGTCACGACTGGACCTAATAGTCAGGGGTCCCTTTACCTTTTACTCTCAGGGCAAATGGGGCATTGCCCCACCAACCTCATTCTGTTCTCAGCCAGCCCCCACCTGCCAGCCTCCTAACTTATAATGAGACACTTACTGTTGGACTTCCTGCTACCACCCCCACCACCGGTACTCAGAAGCATCAGCCACCAATGTTAACAGCCCCACTTTGCTTCATTCAGGTACTGACCCCCGCAGGTAGGATTAGGAACACCGTCACAAAGTAGTGCCCCACTATGTCTAAATTAATGTTATTTATTTAAGTTGGGGATTCTCTTGAAAAATACAGATTAATTCTAAAATGGAACAGCATACTTGCAAAATGGATGTGGAACAGATAAGGACTGATCTATCCATCCCAGGCATGAGGATGTCTGCAATGCAATTGTCCAATCCCATGGATGCATTTAACCCCTTCCTTCCTTCCTTCCTTCCTTCCTTCCTTCCTCTCTCCCTCCCTCCCTCCCTCCCTCCCAGATTTTGTCCATTGTACCAGAGTCTTCATGCTGCTTGGGATGACTGCTGGAGCCATCTCTTGCCTTGGTCTTTGTGGCAAATATTTTGACTTCCAGTTTGGCTTCATCTCCAGGGCCAAGACCTCAGCTATAGCCAGCATTCTTGCAGGTATTATGGGGGGTCATAAGCACCTGCTTCTGGCTACCGGAGCACTTCTTCCAGCCACTGCATTTCACTAGCGGCAGCTTCCAGAATTTAATTTACAAGTAACTTTATATCCTAACGTATTTTTTTCTTCCTAGCTGTTTGTGTCCTGATTGCCATGGCCAGTTACACAGGGCATGTGGGATCTCTGGCCAGTTACGGATGGTCTTTTGGCTTGGGCTGGGCCTCCTTTCCTCTCTTCCTTATAACTGGTGAGTATATGTCAACTGGGAAATGCTGAATACGTGTGTCTTTACCTTCGCATGGAGTTGCCAGCTGCATTCTTTCATTAGCGAACAGTTTGGGGCTGATCTACATGTTTAGCATCATCATGTACTTGTGTCCCTGGCAGCGTGCCACTTTGGCTGCAGGTGGAGGTTCACATATTGGACAGTTTCTGAATGTGACATGCCATACTCACAATTCCACTCTCAGCAAAAGAGGAAGAGGGCGGAATGTGGACCAATCCCCTGGGTGTGCTGCTTTTCTGAAAGCATGGATTACTTCTGTATGTTTTGCATTGAAAACCATTCGGAAATGTCTTTCTCCCTTCTTACCAACACTTTGAAGAAATCAGGTTTTCCCAGATTCAGCTCGAAGGGCAGGAAAAACATCTAAATCAAGTTTGACCTAAGTGTGTCGGCAGGACTTCCGGACTACAGAAATGCATTTGTACCAAACTTCAGCAATTTGGAATTCACTGCCCTTATTCCTTACAAACTGTCCCAGAGGCTTTGGCTGAGTACAAATGATATTATATTCTAGAATGCATGGAGACAGAGTACTTGGTTTATCCACAGGCAATCTCGATCTATTCTTTTACTGCAAAGCACTTCTTGATAAATGGGTTTCATTCCAGATTGGTTTTGCACAGTGCATCTATTTGAAAACCTATGAAAAAAGATGGAGGCATGTCTGGCAAGAGGAGTCCCTTGTAGAAGTCTCAAAATTATTATTATTATTATTATTATTATTATTATTATTATTATTATTATTAAAATTTGTATACTGCCGTATGCCTGTGGGTCTCAGGGTGCTTCACAAGATAAAATCACAATATAAAAACACAGAATACATAATCAAAATGAAAACTAAAACAACCCAATATCTCCCCTCCCTGCAACACATTAAAAAGGGGTATTGGATGTCATTCCAAAATGCACAATGTAGTTCTGTGGAACAGAAAACATCTGTGCCTGTTAGAATGGCAGGGCTTTGACAATCCAGGCATGATCCCACTGATGTGCAAGGGAGGTAATGCTGGGGTCAGTGATTTGGCTATTTCAGATAGTGTTTTATTCTCCTCGACCTATTGCCCTAACTAGCTCCCTTTCTCTCCTGAAAGGTGGGCTGGCTTTTCGCCTGAATACTGTGCCAGGGATCAGGTTTGATGGCGTTTCTAAGGCACAGAATCTACAGACATTTCTAGTGTGCTTGTATAATTAAACAGACGTTTCTAGGGTGTTCTTTGTGTGAGGAAAATTATCAAGGGAACAGAGACATACTGCTGGGACAATCTCAGTGTGTTACCTCTTACCCAAAGACAAAGTACTTTCAGGGATGTCTATAATTACAGACCAAAAGGAGTATTGTGTTATTCTACTCTTTCCTGTTCTTTTTCTCTCATTCTGTGCTGATTTTTACTTGCTAAGTGTACATAGACATTTAAGTTTCATTTTTTTCTGTTAAATTGTGCAGCAACCAGATTTTTGAGAGACCTTTACCTTCCAGGGAGCTGGAATTGTACCACCAAGCTCATGTTATGCCTTTAGTAAACTTTTACTAATAGAGTTTACTGAGGTTGTTGTTGTTGTTGTTTTGAATTACACATCATCTTGCAAGCTATTCTACTCTGCTACCAACCAAGCAGGCGTGGCTGGGGTCATTTGAGCACAAACCCTGACATACTGACATGCATTCTACTAATATTTATCCAGAGCACATTCCAATGTATACTTGGCAGAGTATAAACTTAAACGCATTGCAGGATTGACAATAAAGAGACCAGAGGCAATTAAGATTTCATCCAGCAGAGCTTTACTGCTACAGAAGGCAAATGAGCATAATGGTCACAAATCCAATACATTCAGGATTGGCACTGTCCATAAGAAATCCAGTTGCAGCAGACTCAATTTAAATTTACAATAACTTATAATAAAACCAAAGCTGTAACACTAAGCATACTATATACAGAACACTACACCAAAAGGATGTGGGTGGCGCTGTGGTCTAAACCACTGAGCCTCTTGGGCTTGCTGATCAGAAGGTCAGCGGTTTGAATCCCCGCGACGGGGCGAGCTCCCATTGTTCGGTCCCAGCTCCTGCCAACCTAGCAGTTCAAAAGCACGTCAAAAAGTGCAAGTAGATAAATAGGTACCACTCTGGTGGGAAGGTAAACTGTATGTCCATGCTCTGTTCTGGTTTCGGTGTTCCGTTGCTCCAGAAGCGGCTTAGTCATGCTGGCCACATGACCCGGAAAAACTGTCTGCAGACTGGCTCCCTCAGCCTGTAAAGCGAGATGAGCGGGCAACCCCAGAGTCATCTGTGACTGGACTTAACTGTCAGGGGTCCTTTACCTTCACCTTTTTACACCAAAAGGAAAGAGAGACAGAAAGTGAAACCCAGGCTCCTTCTGGCCTTATGATTATAGCCAGCATGACCTTGACAAAAAGAGAGAACAAAACCAGCTTAAGCCAGCTGTACTCAGCTTCTCTGAAGAAATGACTCAAATATGATGAACCTTCTGCTTGCTTCAAGGCAGAATAGAAACTTACATGTCAACTAGAAATTTCCAGCTTACACCAGTTTCTTTCACACAGAGAAGCTTTGAGAACCCTCTTGAATAAATTGGAATAGGAAAGATCAGATCAACACTTTCTGTACCAAGAAATGCAAACTGATGCATACTGCTAGGTCAGCATGAGACAACGAGTGTGCTACAATTTCAGAGGAGCTATGTTGATGTACTGGGTCACAGACACAGTTTACACTGGGGCAAGCTGGACCTGGAGGAAATGACTATACTTTTGTGATGAAGCTAATACATTATACAATAGCATTGGGGTTAAGGAATAGCAAATTCACAACAAATTGGAAACTGTTAACTGAATACTGAACTTGCCAACTTAATGCCCTCCAAACGCTGTTGTGCTATGTTGCAGGAATTTATGTATAGGTTGGGGGGGGGGTTGCCCCTCCAGCAGATATCATGCACATGCAGCCCACTACCAAAATCAGCACAATCACTTTTGTGACTTTTGTGATTTGTCCCCACAAAACACTTCATCACAGTTTCTTCCTATCTATTCAAAGGGCCTTTGCTGCACGATACCAAATGTAACGATTCACTGATAAATGTATCTATATACTGGCTCACTGGGAAAATTTCAGAAATTCACATAGACATGTGAGCTCAGCTACTCAGCAGCCCCTCTGCCTGAGTGATAATCCATGGCAATTGTTGCCTGAGTGTCAGACAGGTAGCCATTCCAGAAATAACAAACCCAGATGAAGACAAAAGGGTGTGATTAACTTGGCTAGGAAACAGGGCAATGTAAATATCTTTTTTGTTACACTTGATGGGTGTTTGGTGGAGGGCAAGGAGAACCATGGGGCAAGGTCCAGGATGCTCCGATTACTGCCACCAGACCTCCCCTTTCATGATGTAACCGTGATGTATGAATGATGCAGTTTGGGGGGCTGTAACATGGGGATTAGCAGCTAATAAAAGTTTGGGTTCTCTTTTGTTCTGGGCTTCCATCTTGTTCCACCTTGTGGCAGGTGGGAGTCCTGTCGTGACAGTCTTCAATAAAGACCAAGCCACTGGCTGCTGTTTTGCTCTGGTATTCCTGGCTGGTGTCCTTGTTTTTTGTCCAAGGGAGCCCTCAGATTTCTCCGTTAACAGCTACAACTCCCATCATCCTTGTCCACTGGCCAAGCAATATTATTCCTTCAGTGGTTGGGTTAAATGAATGTGCTGGCTAAAGGAATGGATTTTACTCAAAGATATCCAACTATTAGACTTGGAAGGGCATGATATTAAGTATGAATGGCATGCCGGTCTCTGGTATGAGAAAGTGAAAATATGTAAAAACTTTTCAAACCATGTGATTAGAAAAAACCTACACAGAGTTTGGGAAAAACATAAAAAACTGATTAGAAAGGAAATCACTGTTGTGGCTATCCCCAATGGATGCGATAGCAAGGAATGAAATTATCATGGACCATCAGTGGATAACCTACAGAGATCTCTTAGATTTAAGAGAACAGGAGCGCAGATTGAAAAAAAATGGAAGAGATAAAGAATCAAGTGGTGGATTGACTTCAGATTCACCAACTTAATGAACTATTTAAGATGGACAAGAAATTGGGTTTGCTGACCAGAATTCCAGTTTGAAATGGAACTTTTATGAACTAAAGAGAAAACATTGCCTAAAATGTACAGGCTCTGCTAGAATGGGAAAAGAAAGGTGAATTTGTGAAACCCAGTACAATTAATTGAGCAAGGGATGTGGGACAAAATAATTGAATTTGCATTCTGGGGAGAAATTATGGGAAACAGACCTGAAATACACTGCATGTTATTTACTGATGGAAAACCTCATGAAAATGAATCCACAGATGGTATTTAATGCCAAGCAGATCAGGGAAAATGTTTGGAGCTGGGAGTATAAAGAGGTAGAAGGGTCATATTACCACATGGGTTGGCCGTGCAAAGTTATTAAGGAATTCTGGGAAATGATGTATAACGAATTAAAAAATAAAAATAAAAGAACATTTCCCAAGAAACCAGAAGCCTTTTTTGGGGGGGGGAATGGTAGCAACAGAAGGGCTCCCCCCCCCACTACAGCAGCTCGAATTTTGCTTGCAGAAAAATGGAGAACAAATAATGTACCGACTAGAAATGACATTTCAAGATGCTGGAATATGTGGAGTTAGCGGTCTGACTAGTAAAATACGAGAACAAGATGGTCAAGAATATAAAAAGGACTGGAAAATGTTGAGTATTTTTTTTAAAAAAATCACAATATATGTGTGTGAACAGATTAGCAGGTCTTGAATAAATTCAGCAGTGTAAGAGAAAGATAAAGAGTAAGAAGAGTAGATTTTGGCAACTTATAATATGCAGAAGTAGAAAACAAAAGAAACCAGGGAAGGAGGGGAAGGGAAGCCTATATGTGGGGGTGGTTTTTTGTTTTGTTTTTGTTATAAGTCATTTGTAGTTTCTTTTTCTATTCCTTTTGCTTTTTTTACATGTTCCTTTTGAATAGTTTGTAAGGATGCAAATAAAATTGTAATAAAAAAGGTAAGGAATGAGTAAGATGGGCACCTTTTATGAATCAAGCAGAAAGGGATTATCTATGAATTGCATTATTTGCTTCGAGTCTTTGGCCTTCAAATTCTGTATGTTTTGTATGTGCACATGACTATTGTGATTCTTCTGTTTGTCTCAGCTTGTGGTTTTAATAAAGAATATTTTCAACACAAGCACCCAGATTCCCAAGCCTAAAAGGCAACGTCATTGCAAAGACAGAAATGTGCCTTTGGATTTACATGCAGCTCTCCATTTCCGCACATTCAAGGCATGAACGACCGTGCATGAATGCATAGAGGGCGGTCGGTATCATGTCTCTGTTGGAAACTGGCCCCCTCGGGAAAGGCTGGCTCCTCTTCCCAGGCTCTCGGGGCCTGTTGCCGGTGACCTACCCTGGCTGGCATCCGGACCGACCAGGGAGGTCTTGAATAAGCGACACCTCCCTTTTGAAAGGTGCACACTCCCTTTCCCCTTGCATAGCAGCAGGAGAAAGAAAACAGTCTGAAAAGTAGTCTATTTCATTGCTACAGTGGTGCCCCGCAAGATGAATGCCTCGCAAGACGGAAAACCCTCTAGACGAAAGGGTTTTCCGTTTTGGAGGTGCTTCGCAAAACGAATTTCCTATGGGCTTGCTTCGCAAGACGAAAATGTCTTGTGAGTTCCTGTAGGGTTTTTTCCCTCCCCCCCTTTTTCCCAAGCCGCTAAGCTGCTTATCAGCTGATCCGCTAAGCCGCTAAGCTGCTTAACAGCTAATCGCTAAGCCGCTTATCAGCTGATCCGCTAAGCCGCTTATCAGTTGATCTGCTAAGCCGCTAAGCCGCTTATCAGCTGATCCGCTAAGCCCGCTAAGCTGCTAATAGCGCTAATCCGCTAAGCTGCTAATGAGCTTGCTTCGCAAGACAAAAAAACCGCAAGACGAAAAGACTCGCGGAACGGATTCTTTTCGTCTTGCAAGGCACCACTGTACTTTTATTCCTGACTGTACACTGTACAAAAGCATGACTTCTCACTCAGAATCCCCCGAGCAACTGACTCACTCCTCCTGGACACAAATAACAGGAAGGTTTCATGTTACACTGAGAACAGAACTCTGAGAATACCTTGGAACTTCCTGTCCCACGCTTAGACCCATCATGTGATGTAAACATCGAGCTTGTTCGCAGCTGCTGAGTACGCATATCATAACAGTCTCATCCTCTACTGCATAAAGCAGACCTTCAGGTCTGGAAGGACGAATGCTTTGGAAGTAAACGCTTTGGGAAGAAGAGCAAGATAAAAATTGAATAAATAAACAAGCAAGAATACAAAGGATACAACGTAAAGTGAGCTATAAATTGGATAAGCTCCAGTAGGTTCCTTAACAAAACTCAGCTCCTAGTGCAAGTCCAACTTCACCAGCAGCTGGCTTGGTCCTGATCACAGAATGGAAGATGGCAGGATCCCCAAGGACGTGCTCTATGGGGACTTGACTTCTGGCACCAGACCACTCTGTGTTACAAAGATGTCTGCAAACATGACAAGAAGGTTGCCAATAGCAATACCACCCTGTGGGGATTCCTTGCAGAATTATGTGTCCCTGATTCACTGCACAAAGCAGAAACAGGGAACCTCAGACCGAGGCATCTCTTTGGCACTCAGGGCTCTTTCTGAGCCACATTTCTCCCATCATGCTCTTTGCTTGCCTGCACAGGGAAGAAACGTGAGTGTATTTGAAAAGTAGTCTGCTTATATGAAGGTACAATTAACCTTTGTTCGTTTCCCCTGTTTTTGCCTTGACGTTGAACTATAAATGTACCAGTCATCCAGGTAGGTTACTTCATATCCTCTTGTTAATGCTGAAGGACTGATCTGTGAGCTGGAGACTTTCAGTGTGCAGGAACATCTCTCTAGAGATCTGACGTGGGGTAAGCAGATATGTTGCCTGGAAGAGGGGCTTATCCTGGTTGCCTTCACCTATGCTTAGCCTACTCATGTTAGAAAATGTCATCAGTGATCTCTGATCCCTGAGAAGTTCTGCTGTGGCTCTGTGATCAGAGGAACCTGTCTCTTTCTCTCCCCCCCCCCCTTTTGAGAGGACAATTAGGATAATGGGAGAGGTGAAATACCTCAGAAAAATAGTGGGAAAGATAAATTTGAATGTATGGGTATGGAAGGGATGGAGAGGGGGTTGACTGGGATGGGGAATGGGTTAGATAAGTATCCTAAGACACGAGACCAGAAATTAAGAACTAGATTTAACTCTTGGATAATGAAATAAGGATTTCAACTTTAAACGTTAAAGGACTGGGGTAGAGTATGAAAAGGAGGATAGAAACATTACTGAATAAAGATAAAGCAGATATAATATTTTTACATGAAACACATCATACAAAAGAGGGGGTTAATGAACTCAAACTGAGAGGTATAAATAATTATGAGAAAGCATATGGTACTTCAAAATCAAGAGGGGTAGCAACTATAATTTCAAAGAGATGTGGGTTTAGTATAGTAAAGATGAAGAAAGATCCTGAGGGAAGATACGTTATAATCCAGGGAACAGTGGCAGTGGAAGAATACACTATGATTAATATTTAAGCTCCTAATGAAAACCAGGTGGAATTTTTTGATAAAGTGTTTAAGGAAATGGAGGACATTCAAAAAAGCTATGTGATTATAGCAGGAGATTTCAATATGGTATTAGATAAGTAAAATCCTACCCCAGAGGAAAGATGTAATAATGCTACAGGATTAGCTAAAATTATGGAAAAGGGTATGAAAGATGTTTGGAGAGTGATGGGGGGGGCAAGAAGAATTTTCTTTCTTCTCACCAATGCATAAGATCTATTCAAGGATCGATTATATCTTTGTTTAAAAAAACTTAATACCTAAAATTAATGAATATGGAAATTGGAAGATAAACATAGAAAGTAGAGATAGAGAGGTTATGGAACAACCAATTTCAGAAAAAGAAATAGAGGGAGTTATAGGTAAACTAAAAGGGGGGGAAGCCCCAGGAGCAGATGGAATGGGAACAAAATATTATAAGGTATTTAAAAATATATTGGTTCCTAAATTAAAAATATTAAATAATTCAGTAATAGAGAGTGAGAGGATCCCTCTATCATGGGAACAATCAATCATTATCTATATTCCAAAACCAGGAAAAGATATGAAGGACCCAGGATTGTATAGACTGATTTCCCTAATAAATTAAGATGCTAAAATATTGACCGCAATAATGGCAAAAAGGATGAATAATTTTATGTATAAATATATAATAAAAAACCAATATGGCTTTGTAGCAAGAAGACAGATGTCTAGTTTAATAGGAAGAGTGCTGAATAAAATAGATATAATAAGAAATAAATTGAAAGCTGGTATAGTAGCACTGGGTATTTGTAAGGCATTTGACTGTGTAGAATAACCTGTGGTAAAATGATTACAGAAAGTTTAGGATTTGGAGAATGATTTAAGGGATTAATAAATCAATTATACTTGAGAAACAAGGCATATCTCATAGTGAACAATGGTATAACGGAACAAATAACACTAGCTCAAGGTACAAGACAATTTTTGTATTTTATTTGTATTGATCATTGAAACTCTGGCCAATGTAATTTGAGAAGATAGAAATATAAAAGGAATAAGCAATAATGGAAAAGAGAAAATAAGTTTATTTGCAGATGACACCTTGCTAACAATAAAAAATCCGTTGGGAAATATACAGGTAATAGACGCACATTTGAAAAAAAACACCTGGGTTAAAGCTGACTGAAAGTCCAAAGGTAGCCTTGTTATCAATTTATGATGAGGTGGAAGGTTCACAGGCTATGAAGGACTTGCTCACAAATTTATTGGTATAAAGAGGTGTGGGATATATAGTAGCTGTTAATGATAAGTTAACATGTGCTATTAAGCTAAGACGGGGAATATGTAGGAGAAATGATTTTGAGGAGATATGGAAAGTATTTGTGGAATTTGTACTGTTAAAACAGAAAGGGGTCAAACCATTGCAAGAGCTGTAGAAATTTTGGGCGGTTGGGTAATTACAATGGAATGGTCTCAGGTGCGGGGTGCACATTTTTTATTTATTTCTTATTATTACTTAAAAATAAGAAAAAATAAATAAAATAAAAAATAAATCAGTGATCTCTCCTCTAGAAGGAAGGCAGACTCAGAAAGGGCCAGTGGATAGTTAACGGTTTATTTATTTATTTATTTATTTATTTTAAAGCGTTTATTAATTTTCCACTAAAAACATCCAATTAACATATCAAATCAAATCCAAAAAACTAAAAAAACTAAAATAAAAAAGTCCAATTGTTTTCCAAATTGTAATAATTTTTGTTTTGGCTTCCCACGGTCTGAATTCTGAAGCACTTTCAACATCATAGTCCTGCCACTCATCATCCTCAATGTTTTTAATAATTCCATATCCAATCTTTATCCTCCACGTTTTGACTCTGGTTCTGAGATCCTCATTCATGTCAGAAAACAGATACTTTTTTTCCTATGGAGTGCAGATTTGTCCGTATACTGTACTCTTTCAGCTGTTTTTGTTTTTTCATCGCACCGCTTCATTTAATTGCATCCAATTTCAAGGTTCTGTCCAGCTCTTTGAGAATTGTTATTTCGGCAGCTCCCAAATTGTTGATCTTTCCCGTCCAGGTGTTATCAAAGAAACAGAGATAAACCTCCTGAAACCTCCTTGTTGATTTATTCTTAAACAGACTGTTTGCAATGTAGCCATATATCAGACAGTTAACAATTGGCCTTTGGAATCCACCCAACCCCCCCTCCGGGCCCTAGAGGGGGGCTGCCAGACATCCATTTAGCCCTCTCTCTCGCTCAAAATAAAAAAAAACATCTTTTTGCAAACAGTTGTATATATAATATTGTTTCCAGTCTTTATGACCAACCATCAGTTAGCTCCTGTTTCTCTTAATCAGGGAAGTATTTCAGATATTCCATAAGTGTGTGGTGGGTAGAAGCCATTTTGTCCTTTGTTCTTTGTTTTCGTCTTTAACAGGCATTTCAAATCTTAGAAGAAAAGCGGCTGCAAGTAGGTCCCAATTATATATGAAAGTCCATCTGTACTCACTTTTTGAAGAGCAATTTAGGTTCTTAATGAGGCTTGGCATCCATTACGGATTGTTAATGTTACAGGAAGAAGAAGAAAAAACCCATACGAAGCCCCTCCAGATTCCAAACATCATGATGAGGATCTCTTTGAAGTTCGATCTTTTGCACCAGAGACTGTACATGCTGCAGGTTCCCCCCCAGCTTTGTCAGTTCAGAGCGTGTCTGTTTGTTTTCCAAATCTTTATATTTTCCCAAACAGATGCATCCGGCTATGGGGTGGCATCGCAGGAGTGTCAGTCCGTCCCTTGCTCCGTGACCCAGTGCCCCTGCCGTCTGCCACATCGGCAATCTGGGGCAAACTGCTGGTCGCCGAGACCATCCTCCCCTGCCCTGGGGAGGCTGCCACGGCTAATTACCCCCATATCAGCCCTGAATTATCGGAACGGCTGAAGTTGTTGTGCCACTGTACATAGGCATCGTGTGGGATCCGCCATTTTCCACCGCCGGAAACAGGAAGCTGATAGCAGGAGTAGCAGGGGCAGGAAGTTCAGTGAACCCAGCAAAGTTTGTGGGCCTGAGCAGGTTTCCAACGATGCCTATGTACAGTGGCACAACCAAAGGGTATTGCATATGTGCATCATTCTAATCTCTATAGTGGAACCAGTATCCAGAAAGTGCCTACCACCCCGCAATCCAGCAATTCAGAAATAAAAAGAAAGCAGAGAGTCGGGGGAAAGAGATGAGTACCATCCACAGAAAGGTGGTACCCTTTGATAGGAGGTGGGTATACTGCCCACCTCTACTGAGTAGGTGGCATAGTCAAAGCATGCCAGGGACTTGTTCCACAGTGCTGACTTTCACCTAAAGAAAGGAGGCGGTGATTCTATTAGATTGCCATCAAATTGCCATTTGTGCTTAACTGCTTGTCAAATACCATAATTTGGTCTTGGCATAATCGACACATAACGTTTCTTTATTACATACTTCCCCAAACAATTTCAACCATCTCCTTATGCAATTTTAAGGTCTGGGATAACAGGAGCATGTCATCTGCTTATAGAAGCATATTTAATTTTAGCAAATTGGTTAGTGGTGTTATTTACATATACAGTGGTACCTTGGGTTACAAACACTTCAGGTTACAGACTCCGCTAACCCGGTAGTAGTACCTCGGGTTAAGAACTTTACCTCAGGATGAGAACAGAAATCATGTGGCGGTGGCGTGGCGTCAACAGGAGGCCCCATTAGCTAAAGTGGTACGTCAGGTTAAGAATGGTTTCAGGTTAAGAACGGACCTCTGGAATGAATTAAGTTCATAACCAGAGGTACCACTGCATGTTAAACAAAAAAGGGAGCTGGCAAACAACCTTGTCTAACCCCTCTGGCTGAGTCTTATTGGCCCTGACAACTGGCTTTCTTGGTCTACTCTGACTTGAAGCTTGAAGTTCTTAATTTAAACTCAGCAGAGGCACCTGTCTGTCCAAGTCTCCAGTTTTCTCCATAAAAAGTCTTCTTTTCTGTCAAAGGCTAAGGTCAAGTCAATGAAGGTGAGCGATGAGGATGAGAAGAAGGGAGGGAGGGAAGGAGAGCGGATATATGCCATTTGGTTATTTGTCCTGAGCCAAACACCAATCACAGAAATGACTCCTGGGTGAATGGATGGCAGTTTGTTTGGTTCCCTTCATGTCTTCCTCCTCTCCCATCCTACCCTTCTGTTTCAATTTCATTAACCCACTAAGTGGGGCACAAACAGGTACAAAGCAAAAGTAGTTCTGGGGTGGTTGCAGCATGAGACAATGGAGTTGTGTGGGGAGGGAGGGGGGAAGCAGGCGTGTGCCCATGATTGACACTGCAACCGTCAGCTCAGGCATATAATTTTTCTAGCCAAAGTGTCCATCAATCTGATAGATCTTAATATACATAAGATATAGAAGTGAGGCATACAAACCGCACAAAGGTCTCTATCACTATCCACATATTTTTATCTGAATGCAGAGCTACAAAAGAGTGTCAGCAGTTCATGAGAAGGATTCAGAGAGCTGTGGATATAGGGTGGTATATAATTTCAATAAATAAATAAAAAATATAATTATAATTGTATTTATTCAGCTACCGCTATCTTGCAGGCAAACGGTGTCAAAAGATGGAGGAGACCCAGTAAAGTATTGATGTTCTTTGTAAAAAAATCATTTAAAAATAATTTTTACACCTCCAGTGTCAAAGACCAAGGTAAAGAGGTGTGTCTTAATTCACCAAAAGCCATATAATGATGGTGCAAGACTCACACCTGTCAGGAGGGAGTGCCACAGCTTTAGAGCAGTCCACGAGAATGCCATCTCCAAAGCCATTATCCATCAAGCTTTTGAAGGAGCTGGGAAAAACCAAGAGGGCAAAGCATATTACAGTTGCTAAGCAACAGGCAGGTAAAATTAGTAAGTGGTCCACCAAGGTGCTCAGCGGTTTTCAGAGGATCAAGGTGGGAATTATTTTGGGAGGAGGGACCACTTATGAGAACAGGGTGGTGAAAGGCAGCACAGTTTGTTTGTTTTCTGTTTACCTTGCGCCCTGAGAACCTGAAATAGAGAAGTATTAAACGTACAGCCGGAGGACATCTTCGCCACAGCACAATCTGTGGAAGGCCTCTTGTCACACATGCAAATTTTAAGCACACACAAACATAAACTGCAACCTATGCTGAATAATGTGCGTGTCTCCCTACCCCAGGTTCGGCATCGCAGTTACGCTGAGCAGTCACAGATCTGACCATTCGCAGAATGCAGGCCCTGCAGATTGGCGCCGTGGTTTGTGCTTTCGTCAGCCTTCTGCTGCTCCTCATTGCCCTGGGCTCAGACTACTGGCTGGAAAATGAAGTGAGCTACGCTGGCCTCTGGAGATCTTGTGTTAATATTGGATTAGGTGAAACTTGCGTTTCATTTGGGATGGATGTGAGAGGTAAGCTTTTTGTCTTCTGCTCAGAGTACTAGTGGTGTAGTATTCAACCGTAACTTGGGGGGCGGGGGGCAGCTGACAGTTCCCCAACTCCCTGAAAATTCAGTGTGACTAGGGATAACACATTCACTCCATGTTTTTTTTTTGGGGGGGGAGGAATTAATGTTTTGATTCAAGTGCAGTGGGTTCAAGCACAAAATGGCTGTTGACATTTAACCTCCTTCTTCCTTTCTCTTCCTTCCTTCCTGAAAGATTACGTCCATGCTACCCGAGCCTTCATGTTCTTCGGGATGATCGCTGGAGCCGTCTCTTGCATTGGTCTTTGTGGCACCTTTTTTAGCGTGCAATTTGGCTCCATCTCCAAGGCCAAGACCGCAGCCATAGCCAGCATTGTTGCAGGTATTATGGGGGGTCATTAGCATCTGCTTCCAGTCAGTTCAAGCCCCTCAAGCCCCTGAACACAAAGCTGTAGACTGTGCCAAGCTGAAATGTTCACCCAATATGTTCTTACTTGAATCCAATGAAGTTATACTCTGAGCAGACCCACTGAAATCAATGATGAAAGGTGCTATCCAATAGTCCTCTCTCCACCTCCAGGGTTTTGTGAGTGGTGGAGCCACCTACCACATCTCCACTGGATATGTAGCTGGGAAGGGGAGGGCAGCAGGATGATCAGGCCCAATTCCCGGCTGGTGCTTCAGTCAGGTTTAGCTCAAGCCCAATGCTATGGCATGTGGGCGGTGAGACTGGTTCCAGATCAGCCCTGCTTTCTCCTTGCCCTGGAAGCACATCCAATGGATATGTTTCAAAGGTGGAATCAGGGACTTCCTGCAGCCAATCAGAAGCCACGCTTTGGTTTCAGAACTTTTTGGAATTCAAAACGACTTCCGGAACGGATTCCTTTCGACTTCCAATATATGACTGCTACTACTAAGTTATATATTTATAGGCTGCCCATCTGACAGGGTTGCTACAGCCACTCTGGTTGGCTTCCAACAAATGACAACACTATAAGACATCAAAAATTATAAATAACTAAAATGTGAAAACAATTTTTTTAGAAAAAAATATAAATAAAAAAAGTTTAAAACAACAATGCTTAAATACAATAAGTTCCACATGGTCCCTGACTCCATCCCTGTAGCCATCTGGCAACCAGGGCACATCTTTCAGCCACTGCATTTCACAAGCTACAACTTCCGGGTCATCCTGGAATATTTAATGTACAAGCAACTTTATATCTTAATGTATTTTTTCTTAACAGCTGGTTGCGTCCTGATTGCCATGGCCACCTTCACAGGGTGTGCGGGAACACAGTTCAGTTATGGATGGTCTTTTGGCTTGGGCTGGGCCTCCTTTCCTCTCTTCCTTATAACTGGTGAGTATGTGTCAAATGGGAAATGCTGAAAATGTGCCTCTTGATTTAGAGGTTTGACTTCGCATGGAGTTGGTAGCTGTTTATTTCATTACAGAACAGTCTGGGGCTGAGGTACACATTTAGCATCATCATGTGGTCATGCCCCTGGCAGTGTGCCACTTTGGCTGCGGATGGAGGCTCATATATTGATCAATTTCCTGGTGTGACATGCTGTGCACACAATTCCACTATCAGCAAAAGAGGAAGAGGGTGGAACATGATACAATCCCCTGGGTGTGCTTCTCTACTGCAAGCATGGATTACTTCTGGGTTTTTAGGCCTTGAAAAGCATTCAGAAATGTCTTTCTCCCTTCTTACCAAAACTCTGAAGGAATCAGGTTTCCCCAGATTCAGCTCGAAGGGCAGGAAAAACATCTGAATTAAGCTTGATCTAAGTGTGTCAGTAGGATTTCTGGACTACGGAAATGCATTTGTGCCAAACTTCAGGAATTCACTAGCCTTATTCCTTACAAATGCTCCCAGAGGCTTTGGCTGAGTACAAATGATATTATATTCTAGAATGAATGGAGACAGACTATTTATTTCATTCACAGACAATCTGCATTTATTTTTTGATCCCGAAAAGAATTTCTTGATAAATGGGTTTATAACTAACTAACTAACTAACTAACTAACTAACTAACTAACTAACTCCTACCCATCTGGCTGTGTTTCCCCAGCCACTCTGGGCAGCTTCCAACAAAATATTAAAAATACAATAAAACACCAGGCATTAAAAACTTCCCTAAACAGGGCTGCCTTCAGATATCTTCTAAAAGTCAGATAGTTGTTTATTTCCTTGACCTTTGATGGGAGGGCATTCCACAGGGCTGGTGCCACAACCTACAAGTAAAAAAGCTCATTTCAGATGAGCATTGTCCCGCAATGCATCTATCTGAATACTTATGAAAACAGATGGAGGCATGCCTGGCAAGAAGAGTCCCTTGTAGAAGTCTCAAAATGAACAATGTATTCTCTGGGAGAGACCTGGGCCTGTTAGAATGGCAGGGCTTTGAGGATCAGGGCATGATTCCCCTGATGAGAAAGGAAGGTCATGCTGGGATCAGTGATCTGGATATCTCAGATAGTGTTTTATTTTCCGCTGGCTATGCCCTCACCAGCCCTTTTTCTCTCCTGATAGGTGGGCTGGCTTTCCGCGTGAATCCTGCTGCAGCAGAATGAGGAAAAGAGTGTGCTACAATTTCAGATGAGCTATGTTGATATCACAAACACAGTCTACACTGGAACAAGTTGGACCTGAAGGAAATGACTATACTTTCATGATGAAGATGACACATTATACAATATTAATGGCATTAAGGAATGGCAAATTCACAGCACATTGCAATCCGTTAACTGAATACTGAACCAGCCAACTTGGTGCCCTCAAAATGCTGTTGTGTTACAAAGTAGGGCTGCCAAATCTTCTAAACCAAAGAAGAGGACATAAAAAATTCATGATTAATAAATAATGATAATAATAAGGGGGACAGTAGGCTTTGTGAAACTGCTCAGCTGAGCAGTTACAGCGCTGGGCTGGGGGCTCTGTAAAACTGTTTGGCTGTGGGGAGTGTGGTTGCCGCTCCCCGCAGCTGAGCACTTAAAGGAGTCCCCGGCCTGGCATTGGTTTGCCAACGCGAGCAAGGGGGAGCACTGGGGCGGGCACAGCTGGGGATTGGGAGCTCTCCTGTGCCCCAGATGAACCACGCAAAGGAGCCCTGACGCTCCTCCTGCTCTGAGGCATGCCGCTTCCGCTTGCCGGGCACAGCTGTTCATGCTCCTGGAAGGCAGTTCCCGAGCACACGTGTGCTTTGTCTAAAACCACAAACCCTGGACATTTTGGCAATAAAAAAGAAATCCCCCCAGATGGTGTTTTCACCCTTTATATACCAGATATGTCCTGGAAAAACTGGTTGTATGGCAACCCTAGTTATAACTCCCATCATCCTTGTCCGTTGGCCATTGACCATGCAAGCTGGGGCTTAAAGGAGCTGGAGTTCACCAACATCTGGAGAGCAACAGATAAGCTACTGCCAATTCAGAAGGAAACCCTTTTTGTTCTCCTAAAAACATTTCTTTTTAGAGGTTACAAAATTTTTACAGTATTGTATTGGCTAAACACATGCTAGTATTACGAATTAAGAATGATGCTAAGCAATATTATTATTCATTCAGTGGCTGGGTTAAAGTAAGGAATGAGAAAGACAGGCATCTTGTATGAATCAAGCAGAACGAAATTATCTATGGATGGCATTGTTTGTTTTGAGTTTTGGCCTTCAAATTCTAAATATTGTGTATGTGCAAATGACTATTGTGATTCCTCTGTTTGTCTCATAGCTAGTGGTTTTAATAAAGAATATTTTTAAGGCAAGCACACAGATTCCCAAGCCTAAAAGGAAACCTCATTACAAAGACAGAAATATGCTTTTGGATTTACAGGCAACCTTCCATTTACGCATGTTCAAGGCATACACGACTGTGCATGCATGCATCACCGCGAACCCAGAAGTGGCACGGAAAGGGGGGAACGGCCCTAAAAGAGCATGGAAATGACAACAAAAGCGCGAAAACGGTGTCTCGCAATCCCAGGAGCCTTTTGCACTGAGGTTTGAGGCCTGCAGAGAGTTTGAGTTAGGAGATTTGGAGGGAGCAATTTTGATGGAGTTTGGTTGAGTTTTGGGTTACCAAAAGGATTTTTCAAGGGTTTCCTGAGGTTTAGAGAGTGCTTGCATACTTTTTCAATTGTTTTCTGCACCTGCAAACATCCCTGCAAAGACATCAGATGCAGCACAACTATTAGCTACATTTCTCAGATGTTCTTGCATTTTTCTCTGTTGTTTATTCCCAATATCAAAATTCCCTTCCAAACCCTTTATCGTTATCACAGTCACTGTTATGTGACTTTCAATCGTGTTTAACAAATCCATAAATATGTTGACATGCGACAGGAATTTTGTTGTGTTTGTTGTCAGTCATTTTAAGCACTGTACTCCCTCGAAGGGTTCAATCTTCATACCAAGCTCTTATCTCTAAAGTTCTGGGCTGTCTTCAAACTTTCCTTTGTTTAATGAAATTCAGAGTAATTTTTCAAGTCTCTTAATGAGCAGATATTTCCCGAGTCCAATTAAAGATGTTCTGTAGACAGCAATGCCATTGAATATATTCCACAATTAATCATAGAATCATAGAATCATAGAATCATGGAGTTGGAATAGACCACAAGGGCCATCGAGTCCAACCCCCTGCCAAGCAGGAAACACCATCAGAGCACTCCTGACATATGGTTGTCAAGCCTCTGCTTAAAGACCTCCAAAGAAGGAGACTCCACCACACTCCTTGGCAGCAAATTCCACTGTCGAACAGCTCTTACTGTCAGGAAGTTCTTCCTAATGTTTAGGTGGAATCTTCTTTCTTGTAGTTTGGATCCATTGCTCCATGTCCGCTTCTCTGGAGCAGCAGAAAACAACCTTTCTCCCTCCTCTATGTGACATCCTTTTATATATTTGATTCCTCTAAAATCCAAGCTTGCTCTCCCTGAGCCCTAGGGAAAGCTTGCCAAGACCAAAGATTCACCTTCACTTTAATAATTGATATATGATGAAAATTCATACAAGCAGATGCAGTTTTTGTGTGAGATATACCCCAGTTGTAATCCATCAGCTAACTGCACCACAGTTCAGCATTTTATCATCCCACGCTGAAAGCATATCAATCTAGTTTTCACCAGTTCTAATTAGAGCCCTCCACACATGACCGCGCCACGAAGCATCAAATTCTCAAGTTTTTATACAGTTCCTCCTGCATTCCATTTGATTAATTAGATCTTTCTTAATGAGGCTTGCCAAATCGTGAAATAGCAAGTATAGAAAGGAAACAGCCACTCACCTCACATAAACCGTAGAAAACGCTGAAAGTCCTTCTCAGTTCAAAGCTTGGCACTCAGTGACTGAATTACTTAGCAGGTCTTTTTTTGTCTCCTTCTTCCAGAACATGCCTGTTTGTAAGTTCAGATTTAATTAATTTTTAAAGAACAGGGATTCTCATGGCTCTGGCTCTGGAGAGTTTCCAATTTTTGCAGTGCTCAACACCCAGCGTCCCTGCCCCCACCTTCTGTAGCGAGTGGCAGTTATCAGATGATCCGTGGGTGACGGCCAGTCCCCCCACCCGGGGGGGGGCAGGGATAATTACTCCCATATTACCCTGAATTCCTGCATGACTGGAGTGCAGTGCCATGGAAAGCAGCCAAACGCCATGGTGATCAGACCAGAAGTTGGGAGGGCAATCCTTTGGGAAGAAGGGTGAGATATAAATTGAACAAATAAACGAACAAGAACCGTTGCAAAGTAAAGTGAGCTACAAATTGCATAAGCTTCAGTATGTCCCCTAACAAAACACAACTCCTAGGGTACAAGTCCGACTTCGCCAGAGAGTGGAAAGATGGGGATTGAGACAGCCAAGTTAGTAATAGTTGGGGACGAAATCAAAAAAGAGGATAATGTACTATTTCAGTACGCCATGACCGCTGCCAGACTGTTAATTGCTCAGAATTGGAAGAACCAAAACACCCCATCAATTGGAGAGTGGCAAACAAAATTATTTGAATTTGTTAGCCTAGCAAAACTGACACAAAAAATTAGGAACCAAAAGAATGCAAAGTTTATGAACGACTAGAATAAATTTATGACTTACATTGAAGGAAACCATAGAAATTTAAAGACTATAGCTGGTTTGATATAAATCCCGCGATGTGTAAACTACTTACAAATATAAGCTGCAAGAGAGATAAACCATGGATATTAAGAAGCCTGAAAGCAGGAGGGATGGAGGTCAGTAGGGGGACGAAAAGAGGGGAAAATTGTCAAGGATATAAAGAAACATAGGTGTAGATAAATAATTGAAATGGAAATCGTTTACTTTGTCTTTAATCTTTTGTTTATTTCTTTTTTGTTTGCAATGGTTGATTTGATGTGGGGGTTTTTTGTTTGTATGTTTATGTATATGAAACACAATAAAAAGAATTAATAAAAAAAAGAGAGAGCCAAGTTAGCCCTAGGGGTGGGGATTTGATTCAGTCTGCATTTGAATCACACTTTCTGTAACAATATGCAAACCAAAACTTCTTTCAAAATCCACACTTCTCTTTTCACAAAGGACTTATTTATAGACTGGTGGAGTTTCCATATGAGAACTGGTGCCTTATGGGAGATTGGGATGGGGTGGTCTCCCCAACACAGGATAAGACTTCAGAGAAGTTAACCTTTGTTGCTCTGCCCACTTTTTGCCTTGCTGTTGGCAGTTGGCTTCTTGATCATTTCTGGAACACAGTGGCAATCCAGGTGGGTTGCACCATTTCCTCTTGCTAATGCTGAAGGCCTTTTGCAAGTTGTTTGTGTGCTGTAACCTTTGAAGACAGAGCAAAGGAGAAGTAGAGAGAAGGACTGAGCTGTGAACTGGAGCCTTTTGGTGTGCAGGAACATCTCTCTGGAGATCTGACGTGCGGTAAGCAAATCTGTTGCCTGGAAGAGGGGCTTATACTGGTTGCCTTCACCTATGCTTAGCCTACTCTTGTTAGGAAATGCCATCAGTGATCTCTCCTCTTGAAGGGAGGCAGACCCAGAAAAGGCCAGTGAATACTTAATGGTCTGAAGGAGCAGCAGCAGGATCTGGAAGCTCAGCAATCCCAGCAAAGGATATAATAAGAAGAAATAAACTGAAAGTTGGTATAGTAGCACTGGATATTTGTAAGGCATTTGACTATGTAGAATGGTTGGCATTAAAAATGATTATAGAAAGCTTAGGATTTGGAAAACGATTTAAGGATTAATAAATCAATTATATTTGAGGAACAAGGCATATGTCATCGTGAACAATGGTATAACAGAACGAACACTAGTTTGCGCTACAAGACAAGGATACCCCCTTTCCCCTATTTTATTTGTATTGATCATTGAAACTCTGGCCAATGTAATTTGAGAAGTTAAAAATATATAAGGAATAAGCAATAATGGAAAAGAGAAAATAAGTTTATTTGCACATGACGCCTTGCTAACAATCAAAAACCCATTGGAAATATGCAGGTAATAGAGGAACATTTGAAAAAAAATTGGGTTAAAGCTGTCTGAAATTCCAGAGGTAGCATTGTTATCAATTTATGATGAGGTGGAAGGTTTGCAGGCTATGAAGGGCTTGCTCACAAATTTATTTGTATGTGTCTGAAGAAGTGTGCATGCACACGAAAGCTCATACCAAGAACTAACTTAGGTGGTCTTTAAGGTGCTACTGGAAGGAATTTTTTTATTTTGACTATGGCAGACCAACACGGCTACCTATCTGTAAACAAATTTATTGACAGCTGTATGAGTTTTTATAGCTAGGAAGTGAAGGGGCAAGGTGAATATAAAATAGAAGAATGGTATAAAGAGGTGTGGGATATAGCTACTAATGATAAATTAACATGTGCTATTAAGGTAAAATGGGGAATATTTAGGAGAAATGATTTTAAGGAGATATGGAAAGTATTTGTGGAATTTGTACTGTTAAAACGGAAAGGGGTCAAACCATCACAAGAGGTGTTGAAATTTTGGGAGGCTGGATAGTTACAATGGGAGCTGGCAAACAACCTTGTCTAACCGCTCTGGCTGAGTCTATTGGCCCTGACAACTGGCCTTCTCAGTCTACTCTGACTTGAAGCTTGAAGTTCTTAATTTAAACTCAGCAGAGGCACCTGTCCATCTTAGTCCCCAGTTTTCTCCATAAAAAGTCTTCTTTTCTGTCAAAGGCTGAGGTCAAATCAATGAAGATGAACGATGAGAGAAGAAGGGAGGGAGGGAAGGAGAGCAGATATATGCCATTCGGTTATTTGTCCTGAGCCAAACACCATTCACAGAAATGACTCCTGAGTGAATGGATGGCAATTTGTTTGGTTCCCTTCATGTCTTCCTCCTCTCCCATCCTACCCTTCTGTTCAATTCCATTAACCCACCCCACTAAGTGGGGCATAAATAGGCACAAAGCAGAAGTAGTTCTGGGGCGGTTGCAGCTTGAGGAAATGGAGTTGTGTGGGGAGGGTGGGGAGAGCAGTTGTTTGCCAGCAATTGACACTGCTAGCCACCATTCTTCAGCTCAGGCATATAATTTTTCTAGCCAAAGTGTCCATCAATCTGATAGATCTTAAAAGATATAGAAGTGAGGCATACAAACCCCACAAAATATCTCTATCACTATCCACATATCTGAATGCAGAGCTATAAAAGAGTGTCAACAGTTCATAAGAAGGATTCAGAGACCTGCAGATGTATGGCGGCATATACCACATTTCTCTGTGTATAAGACAATGCTTTTTGCTAAAAAAAATAAATAGGCAAAAATTGGGTGTTCGCTTATACACGGAGAATGAATGCAGGGGGGGCGTGTGATTAATGGTAGCAACAAGAAGGAGATTGGCAGCGGCAACTGGGCAGGCGATTGGCGGCTGTAGGAAGTGGGTGGGTGTGCTGCTGCTGGTGGCGAGCGGGCAGACAATTGGCGAATACGGCGAGGTGTGCACTCGGCAATGGCTGTGGCAAGCTATCAGCAGTGGCGGGCAGGCGCGTGAGTGATTGGCGGAAGTGACTTCCCCCACCCCCCCAAAAAAGCTAAACAACTGAATTTCTTAATTTTGGGTTAAAAAAATAGGGGTTTTCTTATACAAGGGGGCATTTTATAAATGGAAAAATACAGTATTTTCAATAACTAAAAATAATTATAATCCAATGCATAAATGTATTTATTCAGCTACTGCTATATCACAGGCAACCGGTGTCAAATGGTGGAGGAGACCCAGTAAAGTACTGACGTACAGTACTTTGTAAAAAAAAATTAAAAATCGTTTTGACATCTCCAGTGTCAAAGAGGGGGGTAAAGAGGTGTTTCTTTAGCATTCACCAAAAGCTATATAATGATGGTGCAAGACTCACACCTGTCAGGAGGGAGTGCCACAGCTTTAGGGCCATCTCCGAAGCCATTATCCATCAAGCTTTTGAAGGAGGTGGAAAAAACCAAGATGGCAAAGCATATTACATTGGCTACAAATAATTAGTTCTGACCAGCATTTTCTGCTGCAGATGTTCTTTTGACGGGTTATCAGCACTTTATATTCTTTTTTAAGGCACGTACGGAGAGATAGGCTTGTTGCCTGAATGAGTTAACAGATGTCAGGGCGGCTTTGTAGGTGCTAAGCAACAGGCAGGTAAAATTAGTAAGTGGTCCACCAAGGCGCTCAGCAGTTTTCAGAAGATCAAGGTGGGAATTATTTTGGGAGGAGGGATCACTTATGAGAACAGGGTGGTGAAAGGCAGCACAGTTTGTTTATTTTTTGTTTATCTTGCGCCCTGAGAACCTGGAACAGAGAATTAGTAAACGTACAGCCTGAGGACATCTTCACAACAGCACAATCTGCAGTAGGCCTCTTGGCAGATATGTAAATTTTAAGCACACCCAAACATAAACTTCAACTTATCTCCCTTCCCCAGGTTCGGCATCGCAGTTACGCTGAGCAGTCACTGATCTGGCCATTCGCACCATGCAGGCCCTGCAGATTGGCACCGTGGTTTGTGCTTTCATCAGCCTTCTGCTGCTCCTCATTGCCCTGGGCTCAGACTACTGGCTGGAAATGCCTCGGGCCACATTGGCCTCTGGAAAGCTTGTGCTAAAGTTCTGGCAATTTATACTTGTGGTTCATTTGGGATGGATGTGAAAGGTAAGTTTTTGTCTTCTGCTTGGAGTACTAGTGGTGTAGTATTCAACAGTAACTTGGGGGGGCAGCTGACAGTTCCTCAACTCCCTGAAAATCCGGTTTGACTAGGGATAACACATTCACTCTATGCTTTTTTTTGGGGGGGGGGGAGGAATTAATGTTTTGATTCAAGTGCAGTGGGTTCCAGGACAAAATGGCTGTTGTGGGAATTTAACTTCCTTCTTCCTTTCTCTTCCTTCCTTCCTGAAAGATTTCATCCATGTTACCCGAGCCTTCATGTTCTTTGGGATGATCGCTGGAGCCATCTCTTGCATTGGTCTTTGTGGCACCTTTTTTAGCGTGCAATTTGGCTCCATCTCCAAGGCCAAGACCGCAGCCATAGCCAGCATTGTTGCAGGTATTATGGATCCAGTGAAGTTATATTCTGAGCAGACCCGCTTAAATCAATGATGGAAGGACCTATCCAATAGTCCTCTCTCCACCTCCAGGGTTTTGTGAGTGGTGGAGCCACCTACCACATCTCCAATGGATATGTAGCTGGGAAGGGGAGGGCAGCAGGATGATCAGGCCCAATTCCCGGCTGGTGCTTCAATCAGGTTTAGCTAATGCCCAACACAATGGCATGTGGGCGGTGAGACTGGTTCCAGATCCAATGGATGCTTGGCCAGCTCAGCCCTGCTTTCTCTTTGCCCTGGAAGCACATCCAATGGATATGTTGCAAGGGCAGAAGTAGGAGCTCCCTGCAGCCAATCAGAAGCCATGCTTTGGTTTCAGAACTTTTTGGAATTCAAACGAGTTCCGGAATGGATTCCTTTCGACTTCCAAGATACAACTTTATAGTATACTTCTTCTTCTTCTTCTTCTTCTTCTTCTTCTTCTTCTTCTTCTTCTCCTTCTCCTTCTCCTTCTCCTTCTTCTTCTTCTTCTACTACTACTACAGTGGTACCTCAGGTTACATATGCTTCAGGTTACAGACTCCGCTAACCCAGAAATATTACCTCGAGTAAAGACCTTTGCTTCAGGATGAGAACAGAAATTGTGCAGCAGCGGCGCGGCAGCAGCAGGAAGCCCCATTAGCTAAAGTGGTACCTCAAGTTAAGAACAGTTTCAGGTTAAGTACGGACCTCCGGAACAAATGAAGTACTTAACCTGAGGTACCACTGTACTACTACTACCAAGTTATATATTTATAGGCTGCCCATCTGACAGGGTTGCTACAGCCACTCTGGGTGGCTTCCAACAAATGACAACACGGTAAGGCAACAAACATTATAAATAACTAAAATGTGAAAACAATTTAAAAAACCCCAATTATAAATAAAAAATAGTTTAAAACAACAACTCTTAAATACAATCAGTTCCACTTGATCCTTTGTCCCTATCCCCATAGCCATCTGGCAACCAGGGCACATCTGTCAGCCACTGCATTTCACAAGCTGCAGCTTCAGGGTCAGCCTGGAATATTTAATGTACAAGCAACTTTATATCTTAATGTATTTTCCTTAATAGCTCTTTGCGTCATGATTGCCATGGCCGTCTACACAGGGGAGACAAGAGGAAATGCCTATTATGGATGGTCTTTTGGCTTCGGCTGGGCCTCCTTTCCTCTCTTCCTTATAACTGGTGAGTATGTGACAAATGGGAAATGCTGAAAATATGCACCTTTATTTAAAGGTTTGCCTTCGCATGGAGTTGGCAGCTGTTTATTTCATTACAGAACAGTCTGGGGCTGAGCTGCACATTTAGCATCATCACGTGGTCATGCCCCTGGCAGCGTTCCACTTTGGTTGCGGATGGAGGCTCATATATTGATCAATTTCCTGGTGTGACATGCTGTGCACACAATTCCACTATCAGCAAGAGAGGAAGAGGGTGGAATTTGAACCAATCCCCTGGGTGTGCAACTTTACTGCAAGCATGGATTGCCTCTGTGTTTTTTGGCCTTGATAAGCATTCAGAAATGCCATTCTCCCTTCATATTGTTATTAGCCGCTTTGAGCCCAGCTTCGGCTGGGGAGGGCGGGATATAAGTAAAATTTTATTATTGTTATTATTATTATACTAACACTCTAAAGGAATCAGGTTTCCTCAGATTCAGCTCGAAGGGCAGGAAAAACACCTCAAACAATTTTGACTTACGTGTTTCGGCAGGATTTCCGGACTACGGAAATGCATTTGTGCCAAACTTCAGCAATTTGTAATTCACTAGCCTTATTCCGTACAAACGCTCCCAGAGACTTTGGCTGAGTAAAAATGATATTATATTCTAGAATGAATGCAGACAGACTACCTATTTCATTCACAGACAATTTTCATCTCTTTTTTGATGCCGAAAAACACTTATTGATAAGTGGGTTATTTTTATTTTTATTATTTGTTATTATTTTATTATAATTATTATTAATACCCTGCCACTCTGGACGGCTTCCCACAAAATATTAAAAATACAATAAAACACCAGACATTAAAACTTCCCTAAACAGGGCTGCCTTCAGATATCTTCTAAAAGTCAGGTAGTTTATTTCCTTGACCTCTGATGGGAGGGCATTCCACAGGGCTGGTGCCACAAACTACAAGTAAAAAAGCTCATTGCAGATGGTTGCATTGTCCCACAATGCATCTATCTGAATACTTATGAAAACAGATGGAGGCAAGCCTGGCAAGAAGAGTCCCTTGTAGAAGTCTCAAAATGAATAATGTATTCTGTGGGAGAGAACTGGGCCTGTTAGAATGGCAGGGCTTTGAGGATCAGGGCATGATTCCCCTGATGAGAAAGGAAGGTAATGCTGGGATCAGTGATCTGGATATCTCAGATAGTGTTTTATTTCCGCTGGCTATGCCCTCACCAGCCCTTTTTCTCTCCTGATAGGTGGGCTGGCTTTCCGCCTGAATGCTGCTGCAACAGAATGAGGAAAAGAGTGTGCTACAATTTCAGATGAGCTATGTTGATGTCACAAACACAGTCTACCCTGGAACAAGTTGGACCTGGAGGAAATGACTATATTTTCATGATGAAGATGACACATTATACACTAGCAATGGAGTTAAGGAATGACAAATTCACAGCACATTGCAATTCGTTAACTGAATACTGAACCAGCCAACTTAGTGCGCTCCAAATGTTGTTTTGTTACAAATTAGGGCTGCCAAATCTTCTAAACCAAAGGAAAGGACATTAAAAAATTATCATAAATAAATAATGATAATAATAAGGGGGACGGTGGGCTTTGTGAAACTGCTCAGCTGAGCAGTTAAAGTGCTGGGTTGGGGACTCTGTAAAACTGTCTGGCTGTGGGGAGCGCGGTTGCCACTCCTTGCAGCTGAGCAGTTAAAGGAGTCCCCAGCCCGGCACTGGTTTGCCTGCAAGCGGGGGAAGCACTGGGGCTGGCTCAGCTGGGGACTGGGAGCTCTGCCGTGCCCCAATTGAACCACGCAAAGGAGCCCTGATGCTCCTCCCGCTCTGAGGCATGTTGCTTGCGCTTGCAGGGCACAGCTGTTCATGCTCCTGGAAGGCAGTTCCCGAGCACATGTGTGCTTTGTCTAAAACCAGATATGTCCTGGAAAAACTGGACCTATGGCAACCCTAGTTACAACTCCCATCATCCTTGTCCGTTGGCCTTTGACCATGCAAGCTGGGGCAGAACGGAGCTGGAGTTCACCAACATCTGGAGAGCAAACAGATAGGCTACTCCCAATTCAGAAGGAAACCCTTTTCATTCCCTTAAAAATATTTCTTTCTAGAGGTTACAAAATATTTACAGTATAGTATTGGCTGAACACATGCTAGTACAGTGGTACCTCTGGATGTGAACGGGATCCGTCCCAGAGCTCCGTTCGCATCCAGAAGTGAATGCAACTCACGTCTGCGCATGCGTGAGTCACGATTCGCCGCTTCTGCGCATGTGCGTGACATCATTCTGTCTGTGCATGCGCAAGCTGCGAAACCCAGAAGTAACGCGCAACCCGAAAATACTTATCCTGAAGCTACTTCAACCCGAGGTATGTCTGTATTACAAATTAAGAATGATGCTAAGCAATATTATTCTTCATTCAGTGGCTGGGTTAAAGTAAGGAATGAGAAAGACAGGCATCTTGTATGAATCAAGCAGAACGAAATTATCTATGGATGGCATTGTTTGTTTTGAGTTTTGGCCTTCAAATTCTAAATATTGTGTATGTGCAAATGACTATTGTGATTCCTCTGTTTGTCTCACAGCTTTTGATTTTAATAAAGAATATTTTTAACGCAAGCACACAGATTCCCAAGCCTAAAAGGAAACCTCATTACAAAGACAGAAATATGCTTTTGGATTTACAGACTACCTTCCATTTACGCATGTTCAAGGCATACATGACTGTGCATGCACGCATTACTGCGAACCCAGAAGTGGCACAGAAGGGGGGGGACAGCCCTAAAACGGTGCAAAAACGTTGTCTTGCAATCCCAGGAGCCTTTTACACTGAAGTTTGAGGCCTGCAGAGAGTTCAAGTTCGAGAAAGTTCAAGTTGGAGGGAGCAATTGTGGTGGAGTTTGGTGGAGTTTTTGGGTTACCAAAAGGGTTTTTCAAGAGTTTCCTGAGGTTTAGAGAGTGCTTGCATTCTTTTTCAATGGTTTTCTGCACCTGCAAACATCTCTGCAAAGACAACTGATGTTGAGAGCACGCCAGACACTCCTGTCTTCCACTGCCTCCCACAGTTTGATCAAACTCATGCTGGTAGCTTCGAGAACACTGTCCAACCATCTTGTCCTCTGTCGTCCCCTTCTCCTTGTGCCCTCCATCTTTCCCAACATCAGTGTCTTCTCCAGGGAGTCTTCTCTTCTCATGAGGTGGCCAAAGTATTGGAGCCTCCGCTTCAGGATCTGTCCTTCCAGTGAGCACTCAGGGCTGATTTCCTTAAGAATGGAGAGGTTTGATCTTCTTGCAGTCCATGGGACTCTCAGGAGTCTCCTCCAGCACCATAATTCAAAAGCATCAATTCTTTGGCGATCAGCCTTCTTTATGGTCCAGCTCTCATTTCCATACATCACTACTGGGAAAACCATTATCTACATTACTCACATGCAAATTCTTCCTGAGTTCATTTCTGGCATTTTAATCAGACCTGAATGTGACAGAAGGTTCAGCTAGATGACCTATTTATTCATCCTGATATTCTTGCAGAAGAGATTAGCTTAAAATTATTATTACTATGTCCAGTCTTTATTGAGCATCCATTCATCCAGCCTTGATCTTAATTTGTTTGTGGGGTGTTTATATGCTTTTGGTCATCAGTTCTTCACCTCCCACGTGTCAGTGCATTTTCCTCCATTCATAACAACAAAAGTCAAGGTTGTATCCAACTAAACTGACCAATTGAATCTAATGGATCTACACTGGTAGGTGTCAGCATCGCCCTTGAGCCAGTGCCACGGACTGGACTCATCCACTTCAGCCCTGACTGGGCCAGGCAAGCTGGGGTAGCACTTCCAGAGACCACCTTCTACACAGGAACAGGTCAAAGTGCTGTGGACTCACAGCTTAGAGTTGTGAGCACCGGATTCACTCCAACAAGAAGACAGTCGTCGCACAGCAGAGTATAGCAGAGTACAGCAGAGCATAAACGACTCGGAGAGCAGCTCTGTAGAATATCTTCTTTATTCTATCTACAATGATAATACAACTATATACAGAGCTATATGAGGTCTAAGCAAAATGAATGCTGAACTGCACTGAGTGCCTGCAGCTGCTCTTAGCAGCAACCTTATCTATACACACAATCTCTAACACTCAGTCTCTCTCTCTCCGACACACTGACTGACTCTTTGATGTTAGGCTGGAGTGGAATAAGTAGAGAGCAGAACACAGCCCCCTCCTCTCTGGAAAATCACCAGGCTCATCAGCAGATTCTTGGATATGGGAGGGGTGAAATCTCCTCAGTAGGTTGGCATTAGATTTAACTCTCTGTCTCCGTCTCTCTCTTTCTCTCTTTAAAGTAGGACCCCTCCTTCTGCTTTCTAGATGAGCAAACATCCAAGAGAGGGCAGCAGGAACTAGTGAGCTAGCTCTGTACCTTTTGCTGTTCTAGTCACCCTCTATAACATATCTTTAGGATACAGGAGCATATAAGTATTGTTATAAAAAAATAAATAAAATATGAACCCAATTAAAAAATATATATAAATATAGTCTACTACTTCTACAACTACTATAATAAGTTATATATTTATAGACTGCCCATCTGACTGGGTTGCTACAGCTACTTTGGGGGGCTTGCAACAAATGACAACACGGTAAGACATCAGACATTATAAATAAATAAAATGTGAAAACATTTTTTATAAAAAAAAATTATAAATTGAAAAAATAGTTTACAACAGCAACACTTAAATACAATCAGTTCCACTTGATCCTTGACCCCAGCCCTGTAGCCATCTGGAATATTTAATGTACAAGCAACTTTATATCTTAATACATTTTTTTAAAATAGCTCTTTGTGTCATGATTGCCATGGCTGTCTACACAGGGGAGACAGGAGGAAAAGCCTATTATGGCTTTTCTTTTGGCTTGGGCTGGGCCACCTTTCCTCTCTTCCTTATAACTGGTGAGTATGTGTCAAATGGGAAATGCTGAAATGTGCGTCTTTATTTAAAGTTTTGCTTTCGCATGGAGTTGGCAGCTGCATTTTTTCATTACGGAACAGTCTGGGGCTGAGCTACACATTTAGCATCATGTGGTCGTGTCCCTGGCAGCAGGCCACTTTGGCCGCGGACAGAGGCTCATATATTGATCAGTTTCCTGGTGTGACATGCTGTATGCAGAATACCACTATCAGCAAAAGAGGTAGAGGGTGGAACGTGAACCAGTCCCCTGGGTGTGCTTCTTTACTGCAAGCATGGATTACTTCTGGATTTTCTTGGCCTTGAAAAGCATTCAGAAATGTCATTCTCCCTTCATACCAACACTCTGAATGAATCAGGTTTCCCCAGATTCAGCTCGAAGGACAGAAAAAGCATCTGAATCAAGTATGACCTGAGTGTGTCAGTAGGATTTCCGGACTAGTGAAATGCATTTGTGCCAAACTTCTGCAATTCGTAATTCATTAGCCTCATTCCTTACAAAGTCTCCCAGAGACTTTGGCTGAGTACAAATGATATTATATTCTAGAATGAATGGAGACAGAGCACTTGTTTTATTCACAGACAATCTGCATCTAGAGAATCTAGATATATTTTTTGGTCCCGAAAAGCACTCCAGAAGTAAATGCTCTTTGCAGATTGATTTTGCATTATCCCACAATACATCTATTTGAAAACCTATGAAAATGGATGGAGCCTGGCAAGAGGAGTCCCTTGTAGAAGTCTCAAAATGCACAAACAATGTAGTTCTGTGGGAAAGAACTGGGCCTGTTAGAATGGCAGGGCTTTGAGGATCAGGGCATGATTCCCCTGATGAGAAAGGAAGGTAATGCTGCGATCAGTGATCTGGATATCTCAGATAGAGTCTTATTCCCTGCTGGCTATGCTCTCACCTGCCCTTTTTCTCTCCTGATAGGTGGGCTGGCTTTCCATATGAATGCCGCTTGAACATAGTGAGGAAAAGATTGTGCTGCATTTTCAGATGAGCTATGTTGATGTTACAGACACAGACACCGTCTGCACTGGGACAAGTTGAGCCTGGAGGAAATGACTATACATTCGTGATGAAACTGATAACAATAGCAATAACAATAGCAATAGCGTTAAGGAATAACAAATTCACAGCACATTGGAATCCGTTAACTGACTAGCCAACTTAGTGTCCTCCAAATGCTGTTGTGTTATAAATTATGGTTGCCAAAAGAGAGAACATAAGTTTATTTATTTATTTATTTATTATTTTAAATTAAATTAAATCAGGGAGGGTGGGCTCTGTGAAACTGCTTAGCAGAGCAGTTAAAGGAGCCCCCAGTCTGGCACTGGTTTGCCTGCAAGCGGGGGAAGCACTGGGGCTGGCTCAGCTGGGGACTGGGAGCTCTGCTGTGCCCCAGCTGAACCATGCAAAAGAGCCCTGATGCTCCTCCCACTCTGAGGCATGCCGCTTCCGCTTGCCGGGCACAGCTGTTCATGCTCCTGGAAGGCAGTTCCCGAGCACACGTGTGCTTTGTCTAAAACCAAAAAACCCTGGACATTTTGGCAATTAAGAAAAAATCCCCCCAGATGATGTTTTCACCCT